TTTGTCCTACTTCTTTTGCTCAGCACTTAATCTGCTCTGTGCTTGCCTAGGTCTCATAGCAAAGCATGACATGATAAGGGCCTTTGTTTTTCAACCTGCTTGCCACAGATCAAAGCTGGGCTTGAAAAAGGCTAAGAGGGAGGGGAGTTGGCCCCAGGTCACCTAGCTGGTTTTGGTGCGTAGAAGCTGGATCTCCCTACTCCTAGTCCAGCTCTTTAGCCAATATACCAGAGGCTCTCAAGTGAATCCCTTGCACCATTGGATTAAATATCTGTCTCAAGTACAATGGCTAAATAATAATAATAAATATTAGATTTATATCCCACCTTTATTTTGTGCAACTCAAGGTTATATACATGAGGCTTCCTCCTGTTGTTTTTTCCATGACAACAGCAAAGGTGGGCTGGAATTTGTCCAAAGTCACCCAGCTGGCTCCCAAGCCTTCAGGAAGAGTAGAATTCATGGTCTTCTACTTTCTAGTTAATCATGACACCAAACTGACTCTCAATTAATTGAATTAATAGATATTCATAATTCTACTAATTAATTAGCTTCTGCATCAGAGACAAATTCCTTGTGTGTCTAATCACACTTGGCCAAATACAATACAGTTGTACCTTGGTACTCAACTGCTTTATAACTTATCGAATTTGGTTCTCAGTGTATTTTGTCACAAAAATGTTGTCCCGGTATTCATCATTCCTTTGCACAAGCTAGAACTTGTTGATGTTAGCTGCCTTGTGACTCACTGCATTATTTCTTATGGGAAAACTTTGTTTGGTATTCATCATTTTTGGTGTTTATCATGCCTCCTGGAACCAATTAACAATGAGTACCGAGGTACCACTGTATTCCATTTCCATTAATAGAATTAACTGAAGGCACGCCAGAAGACAGATAGTAGGAATTCATTTTGAATTTAGGAATCTGCCTATCTGAGGTTGATATCAGTTTGTTACTGAACCACACATTACATTTATTATAGGGTGGCATGGAGCCAAGATTCCAATGCAAAAAAACCAGTTTTGCAGTATACAGAGATTCTATAACACCTATCCAAAAACTAGCTGTGTCTTTTCCCAGGTCTGGGTAACTGTCCTCAGCTGCAGCACTATCCCCCCCCCAAAAGATGTGTTTGGTTTAGCAAGTTGTGGAGAGATGCAGGCTCTGAAGCCCTTTTTTGCCTTTGAGTCTAAAGTCTAGCATAGTCATAATTTTTAATGAGAAAGGAGAAAAAAACCTGTATCCTCTTATGCAATCCATCACAGCATTGGAGACATACTCACCATTGGTACTTATTGTCCAAAGGTTGAAGGCTATAGCGTAGCAGCAGAATATCTGCTTCCATGGCACAGGACCCAGACTTGATCCTCAACCATTTTGAGGTAGAATTAATAGAGTCTCCTGCCTCTACTCAAATCACCATTGACATTACTGAGCCAGCCGAACCCATATAAGGCAACAACCCATATGCCAAATAGATTAGCTTTATTTACAATATATCAGTTTTAGTTTAAAATGTTCACAAGTTCTCTTGATCTGCTTGTTTCTCTTTCGCAATGGAGTACCTAATCTCCTATGGAAAATATGGCAATTCTCCCCATGACTACTGTCTCTAACGTAATGAGATATCATTACCAACCAGCAAGCTCAGGACAAGATATGACGCATCACTGTCCTCCTGGCACCTAAAACATTCACCTATGTTGAGAAGCCTGACAGCTGGAATTTAGCTGTCTAACCTGAGGAGATGCAGGACAGACACTTGTGGCAGTTCCAAATGGAAAATCAGATTTCTGGCACACCACCCAGCCTCCTTCACCCACACAGTTCAGTTGAGATGACAGCTGGGATCATGTGATCTCACCAGGTCATGACTTAGTCTTATTCTTTCCCTGGTTTTTTGAACTAAAGAGAAAAAGCAGTGCAGTAGCAACTGGGTTATTCTTTAATCCAATTATTGGCTGAGAGTTGGATACCGATTGGTAAGGTTTCTTTGCTCATCTCTTGCTCATCTATTGACCAGAAAGGGCACATTCTGGTAGGTTGTTAGTTCTATTTAAGCACTACAGATTCTCAGAACAGAAATGAGCTAGTAAATTTAATAATCAGAATACCATTCTTAGGACCTGCTCCATTTTAAATGTGGAATTAAAAGACTTGGGCAATAAGAAAGTCTAAAATGATCTAAGGTCTAAAAATGTCCATGGAAAATTGAAGAGAGAAATTAGGAAATATCCTAATTATTATATATTTACCCATATAGTAGGACTGTATTGCTATTATCCTTCTCATCTTTCCTATTACCTTCTCCTGTTGGTATCTTATTACAGTATTTATCACTTTGTTGTTGATATGTACACTGAGACCTTATGTTTGTATGTACACTGAGAGCTTATGCACTGGAGACGAATTCCTTGTGTGTCCAGTCACACTTGGCCTATAAAGAATTCTATTCTATTCTATTATTCCAATCCCCCTTTCTTGTCACTGATGAAAAGAATTCATATCAGACCTTCCAAAAGACTGAGTTCATCTTAGATTCTTTGGATACCACTAACAACATTCACCATTTCAAAAGAAGATAATTTGAAAACAGAACTCTTTTTTTTTCTGGAGAAATTCTTTTTGATAACATTTTACAATGATTGCCTTTTAATTTTGCAAAAATAATATACTTCTGCAAATTTAGTATAATAACCATGAACTTTGTGAAAGAAATATTTGAGCTAATAAATAATACTTACATATTTATAAATTAATCAGTGAAATACAAGAGATTGGAGCCATTTAGTGCCATGAGTCTGCAGAAACGTCTTCATTTAATATGCAGTATATACTTTGTAAGTTCCTTACTGACATAAGGGAAAAGTGGAGAATAGTTGGTAAAGACAAGTTACAGTGAGAAAAAGATCAAGACACCTATTTCTTGATTCTATTAAAATTTAAAAGGTCAAGAAGCAGCTAATTCGTCACCCAGTTCAGATTCAAGCTGAACTAGACAAGTTAGTTTTTTACCCATAAGGCTGATCGCAAGAAAAAGCAACTGCTACTGAATGGATAGTTTGATTCATTTAAAATTTAATTGTGCCATAAATTTGGGATATAGCTTTTCAAATTACATTGGATATTGTAAATTGTTGCTTCTATTCTGCCCTGAATCTTTCAAAACATTTTTTTCTCAATGTAACTACCAAAAATATTGGCTTCTTCTCTCAGGTCTTTTATATGGATGCAAATGTTTTTCAGAATGGACTGCTATAAATACACTTTATTACATGTTGCTACATTTTATTATTATTTGCATTTCAAAGCAAGAAACCTTGTTACCCTTGACCTGTATAAAATGCATGAAAAATATCATAAGATTCTTCCAAATGTCAAAACTCTTGATTGTGCTTTCTATGTTTAGGAGTTTTAATGGAAGACAAATGATTTTTTTAGTTCCTTCCTATAGGATAATAGGATACCTCTTCAACTTCTCTAAAAAAGCCTGCTTAATTAATCTTTAAAAAACCCTGCTGTTTATTGATAATTGGAGTATCTGTTTTTATATCTTTTTTCATATTTAAAATTTTATTAACATAAAATACAAATGAAAATAACAGGAAAATAAGAAAAAACATTGACTTCCGATTCCTTTTGGTGCAGTAGAATAAGACAATAGCATCAAACCTCAACTTTTTACTTTTATATACTGTAATAATATAAACTAGCCATTTCTATAACAACAAACCTATCTAATCGGCAAAACCCAAAATCAACATTTTATTTTTTTCCCACCTCAAGCACAAAGTCCAGAAGTGGTTTCCAAGTAGAAACAAAGCTGATTGCGTTCTTTTTTTTTTTTTATCAGAGAATCAATTTGGCCATCTCTGCTAACTTCATCAATTTTTGCAGCTATTCATCCATTGTAGAAATCAAAGTGTCCTTCCATTTTTTTTTTGCATAAAGTAATCTTGCTGCCACCAACCTATATAACAAAGTCCCAAATTTTGTCCAAATCTTTTTCCATTAAACCCAAAAGAAAAATCTTTGGTTTTATCTTTATATTCACTTTAAGAATCTTCTGTATTAAGATGTGAATCCTACTCCAATGTTTCTTTGCTCTGCCACATGCCCACCATAAATGATAAAAAGTCCCTGTTTTTGCATCCTTGCACAGAATGTCATTCACCCTGCTTATTTTTCGACATAGATAATTACCACCTGAGTGAAGTACATTTCTTAAGATGAACACATGGGAATCCTGATGCTTGATTTGTATCCATGTTACACTTTCATGAACTTTCCTGTGACTTGCTTAAGAGGGGTAAGCATGAACACCCAGCAATCTGACACATGGATAAGACTACTCCCTGTCTGAACTATGCAAAGAAATAAATAAATTCCAGTCTCCAATTCAGTTCCTTTATTAAAGCATTAGATAGAAAGGGATCATAAATGACTAACTGCTTTCAAAAATTAAACAAATTTCCTAATAATTCCAGGAGACAGTGGAGGACAGAGGGGCCTGGCATGCTATAATCCATGGGATTGCAAAGTAGAACACGACTTAGCAAATGAACAACAAATTTCCAACCAAACTTACCAGGAACTTTCAGGATCCTTGCAGGGGAGTATATATCACGTTTTCCTGAAAATAAAATCAGGTCTTCTTTTTTTTTTGCCTCCAAAAGAGGCACCAGGTCTTATTTTCAGGGGGGGATGTCTTTTATATTCACCTCCAGCACCAACAGCCCAGCAGGTCTACTTCTTCTGGGGCCAGAGGGTCAGCTTCATTCTGCAGCTGCATTCCGGCCTGCATTTTGCAGTCAGGCCTTTCCAGAAGGCCTCTATGGATTCAATCCATAGTTCGGTCCTCAGCTGCAGAGGTCTTGCAGAACTGAGCTATGCGTTGAATCCACAGCTCGGTTCTTGGCTGCACAGGCCTTCTGGAAAGGCCTGTGACTGAGAAATGCAGGCCTGGCTGCAGAAGATGCCTCAGAAGAAGTGGGCCAGTGAGGAGAGACCTGGCTGCAAAGTAGGTGGGTGCAAGGCTAGTGGGGCAGATCACACCCCCACCCTAGTTGATTTTTAGGTGAGTGCCTCGCCCCAGAATTAAGGCTTATTTTTGGGGTAAGGCTTATATTAGGTCCACTACCAAAAATCAAGCTAGGGTTATTTTCAGGCAAACCTTTGGGGAAACATGGTAGTATGGTTATTATTGGACTTTTTCAGCTGCTTGAAAATAAGGCAAATTTCATCTAAAATGTATTGTGGGGCCAGGAGAGAAGCAGATTCTAAAGAGAGAAAAATCAGTGTGATCAATTAGTAGCTTGAATGACTTATTCAGATGTTTTCTAGATAGGTCATCCCATCCAGGCAATTCCTGCTTTACAGGGGAGTTGTCTTGGTATACGAATTCCTGTTAATGCTGGTCTGACTGGACTTGTCATGTTTCTTATTTAAAGAAAAAGATTAGCAGGAGAAAGACAATGTGGATCTGTTTGCTAAGATTTTGCAATTGTATTTTACATTTAGTCTTCACAATTGATGGAGACAAAATTGTGTGAGAAGACCTGTTCTACTTTCAAGAACAGAGAATCTTCTTTCTCCACTCCTGCATGAACAACAAATGCATTAGTTTGGGGAAATCATTTATTGGTGCCTTATGCAATTGAGACACTGGACTTGTGAACCAAAAGGTTGACAGTTTGAGACCCAAGCACCATATGACAGGGTGAACTCCTGTTTTGCCCCAGTTCCTGCCCACCTAGCAGTTTGAAAGCATGAAAATGCAAGTAGATAAATAAGTACTACTTTGGTGGGGAGGTAATAGTGTTCCATGCTCTTTAGCATATATTCATGCCAGCCACATGACCACGGAAGTGTCTTCAGACAATGCTGGCTGCCTTGGCTAATACACAGAGATGAGCACCACTCCCTATAGTCAGATAGGACTGGAACTGGGAAAAGTTTACCTTTAACTTTATGCTAATGGTACATGGGATTGTCCCTTCCTTCCTTCCTTCCTTCCTTCCTTCCTTCCTTCCTTCCTTCCTTCCTTCCTTCCTTCCTTCCTTCCTTCCTTCCTCTGTGGAAGTACAGAATATTCTTACAAGACTTCTGAACAGAATGCTTGCTTCCACTCCATGAACTTAAGCAAGGGTCACATTCTCATCAATACCCAAGCAATTTTCTGTACAGTTCACTAGCTGTTAGGAAACAACCATCCAATATTCTTTTATTCTTGCTCGATGTGATATGCTATAATTTTCCAAAGTCACACAGAATTAAATGCTTGAAAGGAGAGGAGAGCCTTCACTCCTTGAAAATAAAAATGCTACCTTACAAGTAGTGCTTTTTTTGTCATAGAACGCACCCGGACGGAGTTCTAGCACTTTTTTTGACGGATTTTTCCAATTGTTAAAAGTAACTTTTGAAAATTTGATGTTTGGTCCACCTGGGCTTGAATCTCCCTGTCGAGCGTAGCAGGTCGATGGCAAAATCATTAAAATGATGCATGCGGGCTGATTGTGTGTTGAGTCCAATGCATGCGTATTTTATCCGTGCTGGTTGTGATGGCGCTGCTCGGCTTGTGGCGCTGCTCGGCTTGCGATTGATCGTGTGGTCACGTGCTGAGTGCTTACTGCCTGTGGCAACCGTTATGTTTCATTAACACAACTGACATGTGTGGGTGTGTGTACTGTGATTGACTACGTATGAAAGGTAAATAATTTCTTATTTTAAAAAATCATTGGAGAATTTAAATTTTTAGTGTAAAAGTGTGACCCCAAATTTAAAAAAAAATACTAATTACTTCTCAACCACCGGTCCTGCTAAAAACTGAATATATATTTTTTTTAATAAAAGATTAACAAGATGTGAATTCTGGCACCTTTTTTCCTACAAAAAAAGCACTGCTTATAAGAGATTTAAAAAAAAAAGAAGATCTCTGATTCATTCATCCAGTCCAAAGCAGCACTGTACCACTAAAAGGAATGGATTGTACAAACGTTAAATGAAGGAGTAAAAGGGCATCTTCAAAAGTCCTTGGTGGATTTACAATCACACTCAGTTGAAAGCGTGCACAGGTACATACACACACTCTCTCTCCTCATTTCATGATCTCTAGAGTCCCTCGGAATATGCTGCATTTTTCATTTTGCCTGTCACTGCAAGAATGTGCTTCGCACAGCCTCTGGCTGAATTAAGAAGCTCTATGCAAGAATTGCTTCTCTCGTGCCTGCTGCTCTGTTACGACAGCCTCCGTGCTTCTGGAGCTTCAGCAAGCATCCTGCCACTGGGAGATGCTTGATGCAAAGCTAGTTGAGGAAGTTCCATTGACACACCTGGCTCTTTTTTCCATCTTCCCCTTTCTGCCTTCTTTTTTTTTCCTATTGCTCAATGCAGTTATGTCTGATTGGCAGGAAGCTAGGCTAAACCCCTGAAGGACCGAATTGAGACCCAGAGCAGAGTTAATTATGTCTGTGACTCAAGTGGAAGATGGCTTTCTTTGTTGCACAAACTGGTCTTCTAATGTGACAGTGAATGGGACTCAAGAACCCTTTGCAAACCCTCTCACAGACTATGATGAGGAAGAATTCTCTGGAAGGAATATCTGCATCCCAAGGAATATGAATGGGTGCTCATTGTTGGCTATATTATTGTATTTCTTGTGGCTCTCATAGGAAACATCCTAGGTGAGTACCATTTTGTCTAGTTGCTTCTTGATGCAAGTTAGATATTTGCAGGTATGCGTCCAGGCAGTCACCAGGAGTCAACACTGGCACATACATGCACACACACATTATCAAAGATCCCAGCAGCACAATCCTGGGAATTAGAAACACCATTTCTCTTTTTTAGTCATTAATGATCCATAGAAAATTGCCTCCTTATTTTCATTTACAGGAGCTGTTGATGTGAGAAACACCTGTGCTTTCTTACAGATATATCTCAGGTGGCCGGTCATGTTACTGGGTTGCAACAAGACTTAAAATGAATTTTGTACTATGCTCATAAACATATATATTAGTGGCCTTCTATGCAGTTTTCAAATTAAGGCTGCAATGAGGCTACCCATCTACTTGGGGTTAATGTCTATTAAATAGACTACATTCCATATGGGATTGTGCTATTTACCTGCTTCACAATGGAGCCTTAGAAAGTATATTTCTCCATCAGTTCTTGTAGAAACTCTGTAATCAGGATGGAATATTTTGAACTTTACCACCCAGTGGTACATTATGTGGAAATGTCTTATTAATAGTAACAGCTCTTTTAAGTATTTGCATAACATATATTGAAGATTAAAAAGTAATCTCTTCTACCCAAAGCCATCTGCGTATTAGTATAATTGTAATTATTACTGTTATTCTTACTGCTATCTGCTAAGCAAGGATGCCCAGCACTTCAACTTTCATTCAGTTTTGCATTGGAAAAACTCTTGGCTGTGAGCCTCGCTTGCAACTCCATTCATAACAGTACAGTTGTGAATGGCTATTTCTACCTGTGGCTCATTCATGCTGTCAGAATTGTCAATGGAATTTTGAATGAGAGTATAGCCTTATGATGGTCAATACCGAGAATAGATATAACAGAAAGAGGGTGAGCAAAATTCAGACTTGTGGGGTATACTTGATTTTTTACCGTAATCTCATGATTGGAGAACTGATTCAAAAGACAAACATCTTGACCTGCAAATTCTGGACCATGAATGTGTTGTTAGTGCCACAACTGAATGAAGGTCTCAACTTTTTGCCCCCCTCCACCCCCCAAAAAATTCCTAATTGTTCCAAGCCTTTTTCATTTCAGTTCTCCCCAGTTTTTTTTTTTTCATTTGGACCAAGAGGGTGCCATTTGATGGCCTCTTTTATTAAACAACTAGGAAGCAGATATCCATGGTGGTGATGGTGATGGTGATGATATTAATAATAATAATAATAATAATAATAATAATAATAATAATGATGATGATGATGATGAAGATGATGATGATGTTGGAAGGGACCTTGGAGGTCATCTAGTCCAACCCCCTGCTTAGGCAGGAAACCCTATACCATTTCAAACAAATGGCTGTTTAGTCTTTTCTTAAAAACTTCCAGTGTTGGAGCATTTACTGCTTCTGGAGGCAGGTTGTTCCACTGATTAATTGTTCTAACTGTCAGGAAGTTTCTCCTTAGTTCTAAGTTGCTTCTCTCGATTAATTTCCATCCGTTGCTTCTTGTCCTGCCTTCAGGCACTTTGGAGAATAGCTTCACTCCCTCTTCTTTGTGGCAAATCCTGAGATATTGGAACACTGCTCTCATGTCACTTTATACCTTATTTGAAACAGGGAATATTTGAGAGTTAAAACAAATCCAACTTGCAGCATTACTTTGACTTTCTCCAGAAAAGAAAAGAAAAGATGGGGAAAACAAAAGAGAAATACTGGGAATAAGTTGAGAAGAAACAGCCTCTGAGGAAAGCAGGCATGAAGGAAAGAATTCTGACACCAGATACAGCCTAGTGATATTGTACATAAAATAGGAGGTTGACATTTGGCAAAATAACTTAAACTTAGGAAAATAGCTTGAAGAGTGGGAAGAAAAACAGCTTATTTTAATCATAATTCTTTGCAGTAATTTAGGATAAAAATTGGACCTACCCAGCACTATTCATTGTGAATTATCTGGTGGAAAGAAGCCAGTGCTTTCAAAAGACAGCTGGCAAAAGATTTTTCTAGGATGAAGAGATTTTATTTGAATGTTGCAAGTGCTTTGAAAAACACATGCAAAAAGGACATGTCTGTGTTTCAATCATCATAGCTATTTGTAGGACAAGAACCCCCAGTTTATTTTATTTCATATGGAGCATAGTGCATAAAATTCAGCATAGTGCATAAAATTGACAGAAATAACATATAAAATGTGTATCAAAATCTAAAATACCAGATCAGTAAATTATTTAAAAAACGCACAGTAGGAGTGATGAGCTGTAATCCAAAGTATTTAGGAGTGACCCTTGCTCGGTCCTTAACCTATTGGGAACACATAAGAAAAACCATGGATAAAATAAAAACCAGGAATGAGATATTCTTCATAAACCTTCTGGCACCAGCTCTGGAGGAAGTGCTACAGTTGTTAGAACCCCCAGTTCACAGCCTCCTAGGACCAAATGAAATGCAAATACAGACTATCCACAGCCCACTAGGTTCTCTTGTCTCTGTTCTCCATAGACTTCACATAGAGCAGAAGGGAAAAGTTAGGGTAGTAGCAGGTGTGTATGGAGTGTCCCTTCTAAAGACCTGGGAAATAGGACTACTTTAAGATTATTTGCATGAATTTGGGAAGAAGACAGCCAAACCAAATATATTCCCAGCGTTGCATAGCTACATTTAGTGTCGACCAGACTTGTCCTATCATTGTCATATTCTGTATTGAAGTCAACTGGATGGTTAGTAGTTTGTTGGCTACATCTTCAGAATTTGGAATTTATTACAACATCAAAAATGTAACATTGGGAGTTATGAGTTTTATTAAAAGCATTACTACACAAATATGGAAGGAGAAATATACACTAGATTAGTGTGATGAGTTTTGATAGGTATTGTTGGTTGTTTTGTTTTTATTTCATTCTTATTCTTGTTTTGAAAAAGGGACGAAGGAGCAGCACGGTTGAAATTAACTATAAATTTTCATAATTAAATTAAATCCCCCTTCCTTTCTTAATGGGTGTGGTTATTTATGTTGGGATTAAATTAAATTCTTAATGCTGATGTACATATTATTTTATTAATGATCTAGCCCAATAAAAATAGAACACCTCCACCCCATTTTTTGCCCTGCTATTCAGAGATATACTGTACTGTTTGACAACACAAACATTCTAATTTTTGCCATCATAATTTACACATTTTATAGGCTTTCATTCAAAAATTTCTATAATCCTCATCCAGACTGGAGATGTTTACCACAACTGTGGCATGACTTCAATATTTTGATCAGCCTAAATACTGAAGTGAACAGGGGATGTTATTTCCAAAATGCAATTTCTTAAGACAAGATCAAATGACCCCAAAATAATTCAGCATCTCTTATACCATTTTCCCCTCTTTGCTTTCAAGTTTGTCATTCCTAGTCAGTTCTTCCCTCTTGCAAATACTATTGAATGCTTGTGGCAGGTTACAATTTAGTGATGTAATTTACATGTGGATTACAAAACCATTTCCATTAAATAGTGGTGTTTCTTGAGTCCAAAGGTAGAGTTAAGAAACAATACTTAACAGGTTTCGAAATGGCATTCCTGTTTATATATGATCTCAAGTCCCCAATGGTAAAATAGAACTATACACAACGATCAGACTCCCATATATTAAACCAATACTAGATTCAAGTACATCACACTCCAACAAGAAAAATACTGTATATCCAAATCATAAACCAATGTGGATTTCCCCAGTATATTTCTCTTCTACTCAACAGCTAAGGAGAACCATACAGTAACTGTTCTTATTTTTAGTGGTACATAAAGGAAACTGAAGATGAGCTTCTTAAGACTGAGATGTTTAAATTGCCATAGTTGCTAAAATAGCAGCTCACTGGTGAGCAGTTAGCCACCCCTTTGTGGTCCTTTAAGGGCAGAGTCAAACTCCTCCCCATCTTTTACAATCTGGCCAGCAGGCTCAATTTGCTAAGCCTCTTCTTAGGAGCAGCAGAATACCTTTCAAATGTAATACATAGAGGCTATTTCTCATACTGGAGCCTGGAGCCCTGTAATGGATGATAGAGAAAAGTCACAACATTTTACATTTTTTTTCCTTCTGCCAATAAGTGGAAGCATCATAGAGAGCTTTGCAAAACAGGTCAAAGCCTTGCATCTGTCCATGAATGGATTACAAACCATGCTCAGTTCTCAGCTATATAGTCTTGCTTTAAAACTAATGATAAATCTAAGGTTTATTCCACAATCTAGTCAACTTGCTCCTAAGGGTGTTCTTCCTATCTTTTTGATAGTAGTCTGAATTACTGAATAGCTGTGGAGATGTGATTTAATCAGATGAGCAATTTAATCCTGGTTTTAAAACAGAACAGATTTTTCTGGTGTAGATCAATGTTTGCTGTTCCCAGAACATTAGAGCCTAACTGAGATTCCATCTACCCCCCCCTTTTCTGTATTTAATCATGTAGCAATATCCGCACACTTTCTAATACGTTCTGGCTATTTATTTATCTGAATCCTAATGTGTTATTTAATATATCATCCAAATGATTTTTCTTTTGCCCTTTAAGAAATTACCATCCACTGTCTTTACATCTTCTCATTTTATATAAGGTACAGAGCAAAAAGTCAAAGTAGAGATGGTCTGTTAGATGGCTCCATTTTCTCAAATTCTCCTAAAAATGAATCAAGGCTACTCTGGAACACTTATTCACCTGTCTCACCCAAGAGCTAGTGGAACTGAAACAAAACATGGCTGATGTCTCATTGTTAAAAATATAAAATCTGGATTTTAACTCACATTATAGATAAAACTCTTAGTTATGTGGATGCTGGTGAGATTATTTTGGACTAGTTGTCGGTCAATAACAGAATACCAACCTGCATTATTTTCATTCTTTTCATTCTCTGCTCATGTCCATTATGTCTCCTTTCTGATGTCTTATCTCTGTAAATATTCAATCTGCACGAAGTTTGTCATTCTCCAAATAAGAGGTTTAAT